TTAGGAAACAAGACTTCCAGAACACGGCCACACAGCCCGGAAGACCCACACCAGCCATTGAATGTATATCCCTTTGTTTTAACCAAGTAATAGGATTATAACACCCTGCAGTATGCATTACTTTGGCAACATAGTCAAAAAAATTGAAGAGCAATACAATACAAAATGCACTGCAGCAAACTTTAGTTCCATGCGCTCCTCTTCTCTCTTTGAGCATGAGGTTAAGAAAGCACATTTTGTAGTTTTGTTTGAAAATGGAAAATTGTGGCTGTGGAAACAGGATTTATGAACCATGTATATCAATCCAGTTGTTTGTTAATTAACTAAATTTGCTGTCAATGGGGTACTATTTCCAACATTCAGAGGAACAGGACTTTTAAAACCCTGACATTTCATTTTGCTTCCTGCTAAGGATAGAGAAATTATCTAAACTAAGTGTCAGGCTTGGACAATATAGACTGGGTTTTTTTTCATCAAATCAAAAGTGTCAAACGTATATGCATTTTAAGTTTGCTGCTTTAAAAAAAAGTAACACCAGTTTAACACCTTGCTATATATTTTTTACTCCCTAATGAAGTACAAATTTCTCAGAAGATCAGAAGTGTGTGACACTTGCATACCTGAAATTCTTTTGTTACATCTGCAAGGCCCAGAAGCATAATTTTTGAAATATGTATCTAGAATTTCTCATGATTCTGAGGTGATATAGAATATGAAGGCCTACATCTGAACTCAAGGCCCAAGGAGGCATAAAAATACCTGCAGTCTTTAACTTTGAAAATGTCCATTCAGTTATTTACAACGTAGTATTGTAAATAAGCAAAGGCATAATATTTTTAATTATCTTTTCAAGATGATGATGAATGACAATAACCACCTACCAGTGGATTCCCTGTTAGGCCTTCCAAAAGTTCTAAGAGTTTCCTCCCATCTCGAAGATCTGTGAATATATCCTTTATTGGCTGTTTTCCACACTGTAAGATAAGTAATTTTTTAAAAAATAACTTTTAATTCTTTCTTCAAAATCCACAATACTACACAAGAAAATAAAAAGATAAACTGTAGCCAGACAGCATTTTGAAACACAATTACCTGCATATGTTCTAGCATTCCAGATTTCTTAGTGTGAATTTTATAACAGGGCTATGCTCAGTTTACTTTTCACATATTTTGGTCTACTCTCATTCACTTAGATGGAAAAGAATAGCACCAGAAGAAATTTGGTACCCCAAGAGTGAGATAGAAAATCAGAAGCTTCTCTTGCAGGGAAATGCTTTAGAGAATATATTTTACAGAGATGAGGGCCAGAAGAATTGCAGAATCTTTCAGCTGTCTATCTAAAACAACATCTATGCATATTTCCACCAGCCTCCACCATTATCCCACCAGAACATCTACCTAAAATAATAGCTTCCAGAGTGCTAATATGTGATGAAAAGCTAGTCTTTAAGCAAAGAAATCCAGCTCTCCCTTGCTGGATTTCCACCACAGAAGCAGTAGACAATATATAATTTCAAAGCATCTCCTTGCAATCCAACCATGGAATGAATGTAAGGGAGATGAGAAAATAATTCAGGCTGTATCATTTCCAGAAACTATAGGGAAACTCTATTTAGTATTCAAGAAACTAAGGAAAGAGTTCCAGTTCATGAAGAAAAGTTCTCAGTTTGAGATGAAAATGATAAAGTATAAAAGATAAACAGTTTCCCCCCACCCTACCCAGCCTAAGCACGATATATCTGGAAAGATTAAGCGCTACATTATGCAACATGTAAGAGCTGTTCAGGAACTTGGTTCCCTTCTGCACGTCCTTCTTAAATAAGATCATGATTCAAGCTTCAGAAAGCCTACTTTATGTAGATAAAGCTCACAAAGAACACATTCTTCTTTTGGGGGGGGGGGAAATCTATTACTGTACAAATAGCTTGCTCTCTCTCTTGCTCCCACCCTTTGTTTAGCTTCAGCATGAGCGCTTCCAATCTGCTACCAGGTTCTGTTTTCCTTCCTCTGTTTTTAATGCCTTTTATGTCACCCAACAACAAACTTAACATAAGGCAAAGCCAGTTTGCACTCACAGGCCCTCAATAGCTGAAGTTTAGATAATCAGCCTACAAAATACCTTAATGCAGAAATATTACCAGGTTCTGGAAGGAGTTTATTTCAACTATACTTGGATGAGGTTTTTTTATTTTATTTTATTCATGGGAAGCATCAGTGATCATTTGAAACTCTCTTTTACTAAGTATGTGTCAATTCAGACAAAGATTTCAGGATCAGATCTACCTGGGTATAGCCATGGCAGGCCACATGTGCTGAGGAGTGACGGAATTGTACAAAAGTGCTTAGGGAAAAAATTTGAAGATAGCAGTCATAAACCAAGAGAAACTAAGAGATTCTTAGTGCTACTTAATGACCAAGTCTTGGATCCTGAACTATGTTCATAAACTGGAAACAACCATCATATCCACCAATATAGACAATTAGTCCTGTTCCCTAATGGCAGCAAAAATGGAGGGGAAGACTAGAAAGGTTGTATGTACTTAAAGAGTAACTTATTAAGGCATATTAAAAGGGGAAAGCATGAAGTTACTTTAGCTCTTAATTACGTTCACTTCTTACTAACTTGTTATTACACCTTCCTCCTCATCACCTCACAGAAACAAACATACAGATTGTTGTTACTGGTTATTTACTATTCAAGAAACTAAGGAAAGAGTTCCAGTACATAGATAGAAAACTAATTTCTAGTTCATCTTCTGTACTCTAAATATGGTACTTTGATATCTGTGTCAAGATTTTCCATCTCATGTACCCAAGGCATGAGAATTTGATGTGGGAAACCATTCACAAAGCAGAAAGGTCACTATGCAAGGGAAGAAAAGTTTCAGTAAATAAAATACAGTGCATTTTGCCAGCATCTAAATTTAGAGCACCATCTTAAATGCGAAGTATTTTATTGTGGTTTTCTATCTGTTTATTTTTCTACTTCAATTTCTGTTTGCATTCCAGTTATTCAAGAAAGCAACAAATTGAATGTTGTTGAAGTTTTGGAGGGCTGGATATTTGCTCTCTGATATATTTACACCCAAAAACAAAACAAAACAAAACCAAAAAATAGTTCAGTTAGTTTATTTACTTATTTTAATGACAGTACAGGAAAAAAAATCATATATAATAGATTTCTTCTAAAATAGAACTGAAGAGCAACAACTATATTTACTCCCATGATGCTAAGTAAAGAAAAATAACACTGCCTTCCAAAATACTGTTTAAAGATTAAATTGTAATCGAAAGCAGCCTAATTTGTAAGGAATTACTATCAGAGTGAAATAAAAGCTTTCAAAATTAGGTTAACATGTTGTCTAGTCCAATCAAAATTATGTGTGCCCCCTTTGAAGAGTACAAAAACATTTCCAATATCCTGTATTTCTTCATTTCGCCCAGTCAGAATTTTGAAAATTAGTAGAGAAACCTCAGTTCTAAGTAGCTCATACAAACACATCCCACTAAAGAGCAAATCCATATGTTCATCCATATGAGCTACTTGTGGGTATCTTTTCCTTTCTGGGAAATCATTTATAATAATTTGGTTTTAATACTAGAACTCCAGTTAAAAATTAGCCACAAAGCAGTGTAAAATTATGGCTCCAAGTCCATTTACAAATTATGAGCAGAATCCCACTAATTCTTCTAGCTGATGAAACAGCTTTATTCAGTAAAACAAGAAGTCTTTTTTTCAGAGTCACATGGAAGCCTTCAAAGACCTTTTCCAAATCATTTTTCAAGTATGTACGGTGGTTATAGGAACTAAGAGATGGGACAGTGTTGTCCAAACTTGACCACTTTAAGATGAGTGGACTTCAACTTGTCAGCCATCATCCCAGAACAGTGTTTCTCAACCTTGGCATCTTTAAGCTGTGTGGACTTCAACTCCCAGAATTCCCAACCAGCTTGCTGGCTGGGGAATTCTTGGAATTGAAGTGCACACAGCTTAAAGCTGCCAAGGTTGAGAAACACTGTCCTAGAAGGCTGAACATCCCTAGAGCAGATTTTGGAGAGCCTGGGCACTTCAGGGCAAAGAAGAAGTCCCCTTATGGAAAGTCCATTTGCACACTATTAAATATTGAATTATTACCTATAATTTGAGTTTAATCCTAGTTAAATTGTATCTTTTAACAGAGAACAGAATTAAGAGGTTTTTTGGATAGTCATCCATGTTTTATTTCACTTATTTCAAAAGGTGATAACCTGAGTTTTCTGCACTTAAGGAGATCCTATATTCCTGCCATCAAATCCTGCCCTGGTGTCCTCACTGTTGATCAATATTAAGCAGCATTAAAGCAAAGGAGTGCAACTTCTCCAGATGAGGGCTGCACCTGGCCTTTGAGTGACATGCCAAGGGCTAAACTCCAACAGGAAGACAGAGAAGCAGGTGGGCCAGCATATAAACTAAATGTCATTTAATTCCTACTTAATTACACTTAAAATAACTTAATTAAATAAGTTAATATGATTGGTTACCGTGTATCTAAGAGTTTTTCTTTCCTGCGTAAGCGTGAAAAAAGATGCCACTGCAGTGGCATCTTTTTTTCAGAGTCACATGGAAGCCTTCAAAGACCTTTTCCAAATCATTTTTCAAGTATGTACAGTGGTTATAGGAACTAAGAGATAAGACAGTGTTGTCCAAACTTGGCCACTTTAAGATGAGTGGACTTCAACTCCCAGAAT